ACTAGCAATATTATTATTGTTATCTACTACTGCAATCTGCGCCGTGTTGACACTGGCGAAGCGGGTATTAGTCGAATACACTGATGGGCGTTCGATTCGAATGAGGCGGAAAAAAAGAGGGATTTTCTCATATTCATGAGTTTCCTGTGTACCTGCTGTGGTTGCTACAACATATATACCTGCCTACTGCTTGCAGATCGCTGTTTGTTTGAGCCAACAAAAAAAAAAAAAATGTATGGCTTGTTCGCGAATGCAGGCAACAAGTGCCGGCCTCGAGTCTTCATTCCTGAGGCTTAAAATAACGCCCATGTGCACGATGTTATTGAAGTCGAACCCTGACTGTATGCCAATGATAATCATACCAATGACTATAAGCCGCGATAGCGGTGACGTTGACAATCGAGAGTGACGATAGGGAAAACGTTTTGTTCCCTTTTGCTATTATTACGAGTACTATGCTATGCATAGTCTTGCAACGGGGGGTGCCGTATAGAACGGTCCGTCGCGGCACGGAGATGAGCTTGACACAAATTTTCAGCCAAAGAATCGCCGACCACTGCTCTGATCCAACGGAAAGTTCTACGTACGTACGTACGTACGTACGTACGTACACATGAAGTGATAACCGATAGCTAAGTAGAGCGAAGCTAGGAACTTGCCGTTGTTAGCGATATCTTTGTCTCCGCATTGTCGAATGGCTTACTGAGCACGTCGTTTTATTATCAAAGGGAATCTGGCAGTACAGGCAGGTACTTTTGTTGCGGCGCATATATTTATTTTGCCATATAGTTTGACACCTGAAGAATAGTCGCAATATATGGCTTGTGGGTAATAGGTAAACTAGAGAAAAAAAAAAACAAGATGACGTAGGCTGTATTGTGAAACAGAGTAGTCAATAATGAATAAGTACAATTTAAATGCCTTCGCTTTTAACTTACGAAACGAAATATTAATACTTGTTGCATTGCTAGCCAAATCTGCCAAATTGTTGCAGCTTCACGACGCTGCAGGTAATGTATAACACCTACTTTGCTTGAGTCCTAAACTCTTATGCTGTACCTGCTGAAAAACACGAAACGCTAAACGCTACACGAACAAGTTGCTATTAGTTGTCAACTTCATAGACATTTTAAGAGTATTCTTATATTCAGATCGCGCTTTTGACGAATTGCACACTACATAATGTTTAAAATAACTATTCGGCACGTGTACATTCGGGCGTAAGATCGGTCACTTCATATACGGTACAATATCAAATCTTTAATTTCCTCTGCTGTGCATGGAACAATCGATTTGTCTATATTGGATTCTTTAAGCAATGAAAGGCCACCTGCTTGGTGCTAGGCCATTTCATGCACAAAATGTACCCTGTTTTGATAGGTCATCTACCGATAACATTACGGGTTATTCATTTGGGTGTTAGAACTACTTACGTCTTCGCGTTCAGCCAAGCTTTGATGTCATTCGGCCACCAGGCAGTCTTTGACTTGAGAGAAGCGAATGAACTTCACCGCTGGCAACGGTAACCACGAGACGCCGCTCCCGGACCTCGATTCAACGTCAAGCTACATTGATGGCTTTGTCCGATTTAGCCTAGAAGAATCCAGGACAGATTCTGGGTAGAGGTGCACTTGGTGAAGGCTGTAAACAGAGGATCGAAGGTAAGGCGTGCCATACATCAAACCGCTATCCAGCTAACACTTCGTTTATGTGGCGGGCCAACAGCGCCTGCTTGATATCGCTCAACTGAAGTGACGCATGAAGCCGTTACGACCCAAGCCAATGACCAACGATCGAAAAGGCTCAAATAGCACTCACTTGTAGCCTGACTGACTCAGGCGGTATCGGTTAGGCGAATTTATCTTTTGAGAGTAATTTTTATAAACTCTGGTAGTCTAACTAGTCTTATTTGTGTCAATTATACTATATGTACCGTCCACAGCAAACCTTTCTATAGATAGGAAGGAGCGGTCGAATATGGTGTATTTTTAGAAGTGTGTACGATGTGATGACTAGCATTTAGCGTTGGGCTTTTCTAAGTGAAAAATAGTTTTCTTCTAGACTGACTGCCTGCTTTCTTTGCCGGGATAGAAGAAATGTTTTGGAAGAAATCGAGCCTCCCATAGCTAGTCCAAAGCCGATCTCTTTGTCTGCAACCCGCAAGTAGCAGCAGGACCGATAAAATTCAGCTGGGTATTTAAAGCAGCTAGGACCGACAGCATAGCCTCATCTACAGAATACTGAATTCTCTTGACAAATAAGTTCGGAAACCTATATTACAGAACTCGTTTGTCTACTTCGGCAGATTCGACAGGGATAATCGCCGTAACCTTATTGGACCATCAGGTACAGATCACATCGAGGATGAATATAGAGCATATCGGTAAGCAGGCAGGCATTCCAGTGACTCTGTAGACAGCACACTACAGTCATACGGCCAATTCGGCAGATTGATCTATCCTCTAGGCCGGATTCTGGCAACAGGTAAAAGAAACGTATGCGCACAGATAGAGTTATCATTGTACATGTTGGATACTATAAAAAGACTGGAGCGGCCTAGGGCTATATGGCTGCCCATATTTCATCGTACCAGCCGGCTACGGTCGGGCTCGCCTCGGGTATTCGACCCGCATACTTACCCCAATGGTCTGTCTCTTAGTTCATCGCCTGTGCACTTCAAGCCAACGGGGCAACGGGAAAGGCAGTCAGAGCAAAAATACACCAGTCTACTCGGCGCTATCTCCCGTTTGTTTCTCTTGTTGATCGATCGCTATATAGGCAGGTTCCGTAACCTGTTGATGCCCTGCCCCCTTTACAGGAGGGGGACGGGGCAGAGGGTTCGGCGTGTGACGTTAGCACGTCCGACGACTATGTAAGTTTCGTCATGGCCAGTGATTGGAGTCACATCAATTAATCATATTCTTCTTAAATACAAATATATTCAATATGTATGGCGTAAATCGCGTAGTTTGTGTGCCGTTCCTGCTTTATAATGCCTAACGCATCTACCGAACGTTACCTAATACTTTTATCCGTAGCTTTTGGTGCATATTCGGTAACGGCCTCTATAAAAAGAATTAGTAGAGGCAAATATGTTGGATGCAATAGCGTTGTTACATATATAGATATACATCGATCACGAATAAATCATAAATAGGCTGCGAGTTAAGGATTCTAAAATGATCCGAAAGGAACTACTAGCAGGATAAAAAGAAGATGCTGCATCGCGATTACTAAGTGATTATTGTTGCGACGTATCACAGAATAAGCATCCTTACCGCGAACCAGATCGGTGGGTATGAGTCCCACGTCAATTTATGTCCTGATACATGATTTTATTGTAATTTCAATATATTGAGTATTGTGACTGAAGTGAGTTGTTATTTCTTGGGGATCCCGTGGGGTAGTATGGTATATTAAACAAGGGGAGAATCGGATTGATTCATACTCAAGTAATTTTGCTTCGTGTCTCAACAAGCGTCAGTCAAGATAGTGTCGAGATATGTGAGAGAAATGTATCGAAATCATCTAATGTACTGCAAATTTTGATGGGGTTTCAAACTTCTATATAGATCTTGACGATTTAATTTTTTTTTTATTTTTATATTTTATATTTAAAAGAGAGGACATACTGCAAGACGTATTAAGTGTACTCGTAAGCCGCACGGCTGGCTGAAGGCAGCGAGCGTCCATTGTTCGAAACCAATACGCACCAATAAATCCTTCCACAAAAGTAACAATTTCGACCGAAGCTGTGTTAGCTGTCGAGATTACTGTTAGATAATAATAAAAATAACACTGCAACACTATTCTGGGGCCTTAAGCTGCAAAAATCTGTAGGATTTTGTCCTATGATTAAAAAAAGATGTTTCCAAAAACTTCGGCAATCATTCAAAGCGTCAAATGTGCGTATGTACCTCGAATGATCCGCCCAGAGTCGGTGTTAGCAGAATATATTTGAATTGCCATTTTAGTACTTGTTTCACTCTTGTAAAATAGGCTGCATAATAAACGGAGAAAAGCTTTTAAAAACTCGCGTAACCTTAATGTTCTCGTAGGTTTAGTTCCATTGAATCTAAGAGCGCCACAACTATTTTCAATCTGTCCTAGATAGAAAATTCTAGAATATAATAACAATATTAACGATATTGTTCTTTCTGCGATGCTGATGACAGGTCTACCCCCTCCCCCTCCCCCAGAACAAAACTACCATTTGGCTGAACCGTACCCTTGTGGCGCACGAGCTTCACTTAGTCCCTCACTATATCTGCCTATTTTCCTAGGCTAAACGTGATATACAATACGTATGCGTAATAAAACGGTTATCTTCTTCAAACTAAGGTCGGACTCGCGCACGGTCAGAGCAGCTGTTTGTTACCGCTTCGTCGTTGATCAACGCCTGTTTTTGTCTGGGACGATCTTCTTCCCTTAGCGCTTCATCTTTCTTCGTTTTGGTAGTATTCACCTTTTCGAGAAGTTTTTTTGTTCCATCGGCGCCCCACACATTGCAACTAATCCATCGATGTGTCGATGTGAATGTTTGTTCAGCCGATCAGAGGCGGGGCCACTCCATTGTCTCCGCCCCTGACCGCTCCGACGAAAGCCTGTTCTCGCGGGTGATGGCTGCGCCTATTCGTCCACTTCGAGCCGTGTCTGAGCACCGTGCGCAACAACTCTCTATGAATGCGCTTTATACTCATCGTACTGCCGTCGGCCGGTACATGGCCGATGGCAGAGACGTTGATGTGTCTGTGTATGTGTGCGTCAGCAGTTCGACTGCGTTCGCTGTCCGCGCCGTCGTGAGCATAGCTTTGTTCGTGACGCTGCCGCCGCCGCCGCTGGCGCCGCCGCCGTGCTTCACTCTGTGTCGGCTATGTGCTGTTCGTTGGCGGCCTGAGCATGGTTGCCCTTGCCCATGGAACTCGCCTGCCTGATGAGCGAAGAACGCTTGAGAAGTGTTGCTGCGGCCGGGTGAGCACTCGCCATCAGAGCGGCTTGAACCTCACAGCCCGCACGGCAGCAGGACGATGCCATAGCAGCGACAACACAAAAGCGAAAGCAAACTTGTCTATATATTAGCTTCAAACGACGAACAACGAGGACAAGTACTTGCTGGGGAAGAAGATCAGTGGTAGCATCATTGGAGGTCAGTAAAGTGTTTCTGGAAGCAAAGCTACGGTCGTGGACAATATAACGACGCAGTGAAGAATTTCGGTCCTTTTACCGTTATACTAGCGCCAGCAAGGTTTAATGCGATTACTACTGCATGTTGTGTCTTAAAAGCTTGTGATGCCCGTTCCACCACCTACAAGGGGACCAAGTGCTTACACCGAAGACAGTACTGACGAATACGAGTTCGAAGCGTGTGCGAAGTCCTTTGCCAATGACCGTCAGTGGAAACGTATGCATCGCCTGTGTCTCTACTGCCAGCCTGTTAGTATTCACCTAGGCAAGCGGACGGACCTGGGCATCTTCTGAAAACCGACCACGCACGCCCACGTGGTATCGATAGCACGCGAAAAAGGTGGATAGCGTCGAAAGGATTTGGAGACAGAAAGAGGAGGACAGAAAGGGAAAAGTTGCGCGAACAGAGACGATATGCAACTGTTGTCGTTATTATAGTAAGGCGTTGGCTTGTGTTAGTTATCTGATCAAGCAATAGGCCACACACAATTTGCCTCTGTTTCTCTGCTCGAATGCTATATTCGTTTACAATTGTTACGTTCATAGATGGTTCGTGAACGTGCTGTTTGTGGCCAGTGCGTGTGTGTGCGTCTGTGTCTGTCTATGTGTGTGTCAACTATTGCCAGCCTCTTTGTAACTTCTGACTAGCAAGCGGGAACTTGCGTTGGAAGTCGACGTTTTCTAGAGAACCTAATCGTGTTTTGCTGTGGACGAACGAGAAGCAATCAGGGAAGCGGAACTTAATAGTAGGACACTTGAACCTTCACTTCCTTTTTGTGTTATACCTGAAACAGATAGCGTTCACGTGTCGCAGGCCACGAAGACTGTGAGACAGTGCTATCTATTGTCCTCTGTTTATCAAAAGGCTGCTGTATCAAGATTGGTAAGTGGATAGACGGACAACTACTAGGTAGATTTGCATGTCAAATACAGTTCAAACGCTCCCAGATACGTAAAGGTAAAACGACTGCCGGTCGTGTACGGTTCCGTTTCAGTTAAAGATCGTCGTCGAAAGGAAACAGTTTGCGATCACAGTTGGATGACGATAGCAGTAATACCAAGGACAACCTAAAAATCAGTCTTGAACCTATTCCAATCTGCTATGTATATTTGATCACTTAGTAATCACTCCGCGTTAAATATTGTAGCATTGTAGTGGAAAACGGTCGATCGAACTATTATATAACATATTCTGTTTAAGTACATCTTCCGTTTTATGCTAGGCCCATTTGTTCTAGCAGTTATATAAACGTTTAAATGCAGGAGTTTCTATACAGCCTATCTCTCTACCAAGGAAACGAGTGCTCCTCCCGTATACGCCTCCGCCGTATACGGAAAATAACTAATTGGCCTAGATAGTTATTCCATACGCACTAAAGCTTTTACTGACTTTCAATATACCATTTTGTCCAAAACCGGTGCTTGACATCTTACGCACACACCAATTCAAAGATATTCGAATCTGATCAATAATATATCAATGGCAACTTCGATTTTGTATTCAACCTGGTCTGTCGTCCTCGACAGTTTATCTATGCCCCAATAGAGGGCCATGATAGATCTGAAGACGTTTGGCTCCCCCACTCTGACCGTCCCGTATTCAATTAATAATCCTTTTTACATTGTGTCCTTTGGGAATAATATTGATAACGATAAATGTACAGCGAGTTTTTGACGGAATCAACTCCTTCAAGTGGCATTAAAGCGAGACATTGTTTGTAGAAAAAGTCTAGACTAAAAGATCTCCAAAGAAGTGTTAGTTTTTCTTTTTATTACAAATTAGTTTTCCATGACGAGACCCTAAACCGTGACCCTGTTTTGTTCGTATCAAACCGTTCTGCCGAGCAATCGATATGCGATTGCAGCTCAGCTATACTTGCTACATGAATAGCTTCTCCACAAATAATAACAACTTAACATAATTTCCTTATATATATATATATAGTGAGTGCATTGGCGCATTTACATTACAGTCAGGTGTACATCTAGGTTTGTATATTAAGAAGAATGTTACTAATATAAATATTGTATAAAACGTTCAACAGGAAAATCATATGCAGCCCAGAAATAAAACCTTCAACTACTGTCGGCCATTGCAAGCTCATTAATATAGGTATTAGTGAATTTTTGGGCAGATTTATGCAATTGTTACGAAAAATGGGCATTTACTATTACCATGAGCCTAAAACGGGGACTCAGTGTCATGAGTTACGGAAGTTGCCAGCGGTACCAAAAGCGGTCATTCCCAAATGATCCCAAGGTAAATTCACTTTAAATGCATAACAGTTTATAGTAAAATTATTTTTTGGTAATAGCAAAAATAATCATAATAATGGCCAAGTGAATTTCACTATTGTTTTTGGACGTACTCAACCCTAAATTCTATTCGCCCTTCGAAATATGGATTTTTTTTTTTGTTTTTGCCTATACGCGATGCTTTTGTTTAGCAATTTTGTTGATAATGAAAACTTGTCCTGAATGAGCACTGAACATGGACGAATATATAAGGTGTTTGATTCTACGTTGATAACAAAGACTAAGTACACACCTCGAAGAAAAGCCTGCAGGACGAATGACATTTCAGACCGAATCAAAAACTGCAAAACAATATGCCCATTTGTAACGAACGGCCCAACTACCGCTGAGTACTAGATAGTCTCTCTACATAACATTATAGAAACAAACTTGCTTAGTTAGAAAAGCACGAGGCTTAAAACAACTCAAATTTGGATTTTGTGGATATTGTACGTGATCCGTATGGAGCGTACCTGCTCGCTACAAATGCCAAGTTTATAGTACAACGAAGTAAGAGATAGCCATATTGAACGAAGTGATATCTGAGGCGAAAATTCGGATCTCCGATACGTGCTACTATATGTCCGTTTAAACTCTTCATCAACAATATATAAACATCGTATTTGGGTTCTGAAAAAGACTGAGGTGTAAAGAATCATATTTATCCCGACTCGATAGCAGCTTCTTTGGTTTGCTTATTATTTTCTCTAAGCATGAATTAAAATGCCCATACCATGAACGATGAAAACACGCGGGCTCAAAGATTTACAGATTTTTTCTAATGCATAATGTAGCTTCCCCCTTCTCCCCTCGCCTCTAATCATCACCGTCCAGCCGTTGTTCTTGACACAACCCTATCCTGCTCTACACCCAGATGCAGAGATATGAAGCGCCTCCACTTCCGGCACTTGATCTTTTCTCTTACTGGTATTTGGTCTTTTCCACTGGGGTTACATTGACCCTTTCCCTAAGCCTACGGATTAAGTACATCGCCTTCTAAAACACCTTCGTTCACTTACACGCTGTTGTGTTCCCTCTTGAACCACTCTGCCTTGTCTACCCTAATAGTAATTAGCAGTATCGCTTAAATTAGCCAAAGCCGACCGACGGCTGACTGTCAGGACTTTTCACGGCGGCGTAAGACCATTTGGCACTGCTACTCAAGTTCAGACGGAGCTGATGCGGGTAACTAAGGTTAAGCTAGAATATGAGATTTTTGGGTGCGGGTATGGGCATACAGTAGCTACTAAAATTGACGAGCTCCAGCGCGCCGAACGGTAGTCTACAGATACCTACCTATTTGTAAGCATATTTTGTCACACCGCGACTCAGTCGGAGTTGGAGGTAGCCGCAACGGCAGGCGACCCCCCCCCCCCCCAGAACAGTACAAGCTGTTTGTTGTGGTCCGTTAGCCAAACAACGATCAGATAACACGCAGCCGCGCGGCCTGCTCGGAGTGAAAATTCGTGACCCCCGAGGGGAAGATCGAACCATTGAACTTTTGGGTCGATTCAGTTTAAACGAATGGCCGGTAGAACATATTTGCTAGATAGTCCCGTATACATACATGCACGGGCCGATGTCTAGCCTTCTCCCCGCGAAATATTGGAAAAGTTCACCGCGTGAGATTAGGACAACACTCAATCGTATTTGTTAGGCATAGCTAAAAAATTGAAGTATTGTGTAGGTTATTCGTATTATATACCCAATATTTCTACATGCCATATTCACATGAAATGTACGCAGGCAGTTTTTTGAAAAAAAATATCTACACTTTTATGGGTAAAATGGAATCACTTGATTCCTACATTTTTGTCATTAGCTTGCTAGCTGGGCTTGAGAAACAATACAGTTATAACCATATAAATAAACAGTCTGTTTTGTGAAGCAGTAAAGTTTATCTACGAAGAAGAAGTCCTATGGATCCGTTAAATGTACACAGATTTATGTGAATTAGAGCCTGAACACGAGTCAGTTAATAGAAACCAAAACAGGAGCGTATTCGGCACACCCCTGTCACAATGAACTTCTTTCTGTTAGGCCAATTAATTAGGGGAGGGGGTAGTGAGTATATTACAAACACACACACAGCTCTACTATAGGGGGTACCGGTAAAACTTAGAATTGAACAGGCAAGATCGTCTCATTGAGGTGTATTTCAACTCTGTTGATGGCTCCACCACGTTAGCATCACAGCTATCGTATACCGTAGTCGATGCCTTGAAATCGTGAAGGGAGGTGTTCATGTTTCTATGGCTAACGAATACACACTGACTATTTTACTGTTATCGTATAGCTGCCGCCTCCACTGTCGTCTATAAAGCGTGAGCTTTATGTGTCCGATTCCATCGAGCTTTTGGCGATTCTCAAGCAGCGAACCAGGTCTATTGCATAGGGAATGTATCTGAAGCCAGCAGGCATGCGTCTCATTCACGTCAGCGAAACTGTGAGCGACTAGATCCGTTTAAAGGCACGGTGATCGTATGTGTTAGCTACGCATTTTATCTGGGTAAGCATGGTTGCTAGTGAGTATGTTAACTGAAATCGTTTCTCCGCCAAAAAATGAGAGGCGCAGACAAAGCAACGGACGAGTGGAAGAGGAAGACGCTGTCGCAGACGAACGCAAAAATCGTGTGCCGGCGAACAGATGCAAAAGATCCTTTTTGGCGTGTCGGCGGCATCTGTGAATACATACATACATACGTACGTATATATTGTCTGGACAGCGGTGGCCAGTTAATGCTATTACCAGTCGAGGGCGGTAGGTAGGCTAAGAATGATATTAAATAATGTCGTGCATATACAGACTATAAATCCGCTATACAAGAGCAGAGTTGTAATAGCTCTTTGGTGCACCGTTACCGTCAAGCACTGCTAGCCAACGTAGAGAGGGTAGAATTCGCCGTGCATGTACGATAAGCTCACACTTTAATAAAAACTGATAGCTGACCTGTCGGAAGGCGGGAACCTGTGCCCCCGGCGACCTTTAGACCTAACGGTACGCTGGTGCTTGTATATGTAGCCTAAAACAGAAGTAACTTTACTGGGTAACTAGTCTTTATCTATAAAAAGTTGTCTGCCCATTTTGGCGGTTGTTGACCTTGAAGTGTTATCGCAAACTCTTATATAGTTTACCCAATGAACACTGATATTAGTGCATCTTGCATCGTGTACCAAAATGCATCAATTATATTTGGTGGCCCAAAAATAGTTATTAACAGACGGCGATACGGTTATAATATATGTGTATCAAGACACAGAATAAAGTAGACATAATCGTTTTTGCTCAGTGGTTTTTTACGCGCTTAATTTGTTGCAAGAATATGAGCTCTGTTGGGGCCATGGGGATGCGGTTATACCAAAGTTCCAGCTATTCGATGGCTACAGTGGACACGGAGACATATTTTGTTGATGACAGGCAACATTCGAAACTAAAAATTGTGCCTGGTTCTTTGCGGCCTTCTTTAGCCGAACTAATAGCTGACCAGTCATCACCTTGTCCTACGGCAAACACTCATCGCGATGTTTAGACGATGAACCGTCCTTTTTTTTTGACACAAAATAATTTCATATAATATTTTTCTGCAT